TATATATATTAGCATAAAGATTTATATTAATTTATCAGTAATAATTTATTATCTTTAATAAAAAAAAGTCTTATGGGAAAGAAATAATATCTTTGTATTTTATGTTAAAATAACGATAATATAAATATAGGACATTAAATAATAATTTCAGACAATTTTTATAAAATTAGTACACAAATTATGCAAAAAAAAAGTGTCGAGTTGACCTTTTATTGATAAAAATTTGTTTTTATCAATTTTCTCATAAAATTTGACTTTTTATTATTAAGTATTTTATTTTAGATAATCAAGTTAATATTGTTCCAAATAAAATGTGTTTGTATATTAATTTACAAACAGTTTTATGTTTTCTATAGCTTTAACTTGATACATCAAAAGATCTTTGTGTAATTTAATAGCACATTAAAAGACTCTTTAACGGATACTTCTGAGTAAAGTAAAGTATGCTTAAAATCAGATAAAATCAGGACGATTTGTCATGAAGTACATTTTATTGAAAAATTAGAAGATGTTAAAATAGTTGATCAAGTTATCACTTGTAATGAGTAAAACACGATAAAGATGAGAAAATTCTTGGAAAATATTGATCGTCAGGTTTTCAAGGCGCGACTTTTCTCTCAAGTCAAATCTTTGAACGTTTCTATTAAGTGAAACGAAAACATATTGCTTTTTGCATATCAAAAGAGTTCTCAATTAATTAGATATATTTGTAAATAAATATTGTGCAAATTATTTACAAATTAATCAAATTTCTAGAAATTAAAAGAAAAAAAATAATCACAAAAAAGAAATATATTTAACTTTTAATTCAAATATAATTTTGTATTGATATATTCATTTTTTTAAATACAAATCTTCCAATTAAAAAGAACAAGAAATGAGATTGAACATATAAGAAAAGTATCTATTATTATGTTCTCTATTTTACGAAGATGTATCTATTTTGATATACAATATATATTTTGTGTTATATATATATATATATTTTGCTTGACAAGAGTCGATGAAACGGAACAAACACTCATTACAACTACATCTTCAGAAAATGGATTTCTTGAGAAAGCAGATAAAACCATCATTGTAATTTCTTATCTATAGCACTATCCATTTAATTTCTGTCGCAGCGAAGCGTTCATGATTTGACCGCAATATCATTTTATTTACTTACAATATCTTCGTATCTACAATGGCTAATAAATACTAAAGAATATACATTCAGTGCCAATAAAAACACTAGATGCACAATCTTTAGAATGTATCATTGCGATGCTAATAATGACATCATTTTATATACTCAAACTTTAAAAACTAACAACAAAAAAGGAATGACGTTTAAAAAAATATTTTATAAAAAGAAATCGAAAATTTATTTCTGTCAAAAAACATAGAATATTAAAATTAAAACTGATAGACATATTAAATAGATGTTGAGACATATTAAATAGATTTGAAGTATTAAATATTGTATTATCCATTTAATAAAAATTTTGTTCATATTAGACTTAAATATTTTCCTGAAAATGCTGAAATAAATTATTTCTATTTCTCAGTTCATATATTAATTTCTACTACTGCAGACTGAATCAATTAATATCAGATCTCAAGTCACTCGATTTCTCTTATAGATAGGTATAGCTTATTTTATATAATATCGAAGGATCTTCATAACTTTATAGAATCTTGTTATATTAGTTACTAACTCGTTTATTCTTTAGTTAGTTTAGCGATGGATCTTAAATTTTAATTAAACGTAAAAATTTAACGTAAATTTAAAAATTTTTTTGTGCAAAATTTTAAAAATCGATTTATATTAATAAAAAAAAATCATAAATAATAGATTTAAATTCTACATAGAATAATCAATTATTTAATTCACTCATTGATCAATATTAAAAAATATTTAGAAAAAAGGTAAATATGAAAGTCACATCATATAAAGATCATAAACTTAATAAATTAATAACAGATAATAATAGAGGAAAAATGAAATAATGTCAAATAAAAATTCCTTTGTCCATTATTTAATTATTTTAGATAGGTAAAAAAAAGTTATGTTTTATCTATTATTAACATATTATTAACATAATTTAAGATGTAAAGTTTTATATATCGTATATTAAAAAAATACTTTATATATATAAATATATATATATTATGTAATAAAATACAAATTGCGGAAAGCACAACTTTTAAAAGTCTGATGTATTTTTTCCTGTTTGTGCTAGAAATGCCAGTTACCAGAATATTGAGAAAGCTATTAAGTATGGAAGTTTAGCGAAGCGTTACACGGCTTTGATGTAAACTATAATATTTATCAAAATTAAAGTAAATAAATTCCTTTTATGTGCACATATCAATGATGAGAAATATTCAAGATACACTTAATCAATACGTTTGTCAACACTTTTCATCGCAATATCCAATCATATCTTTAGTAAACATCGTGTATGTTTTGAGAGACAAGTGATTAAAATATTCTTCATCAAGAACAGCTATAAGCTAAATCAATACCACAATTCTCGTGCTTACATTCGTGATTCTTTCTAATTGAGAACACAAATGATAGACCAACGATAATAACAATGTTTTATTATAGCAAATAATACCTAACTATAAAAAGAATTAAATAATTTTCTCTGCAGAAAGACGAATTTTTGTTTTTTGTTTAATTAATCCGCTCATCTTGTATGTCAATAATCTAAAAAGATTCGACGCAAATTCTCTCGAAAATCAATATTCCTTTAGTCCGAATCACGGTATCGCCGTTGACATTGCAGGACAATTTTTGATGGCGCGCAGGGGTCGTCTCGCTAGCATCTGCGACCCCGCCGGCGAGATGATATGTAAGCCACCCTTATGCATACATACGAGGCTCCTTTATGTGATGCAAATACTTTACGCGAGATCGTTCGTGTATCCCGCAACGCAATACGATCCTTCAAGTTTTCTCGTTGAATAATCTCACGTCTTCGCTATTATGCCACCATTTGCGCACGAGGTATCAACGAGGCATTAGTTGCTGATGATGCTTTTATCAAGATCATGTTCCGCGAAAAATAACGATCTTGATTAGATTTTAAACCTAACAATGTTTCAGATGTCTGCGATAATCGCGTTACGTGCATCAACATTTATCAGACATAAGTAGCTTGTATATCACACAGACGTCGTCTTGATCCGTTCATTACTGTTATATAAACGTGATTGTATTTGATGTTATCGAACGCATTTGTACCTACATAAGTGCCTCGCCATGCGTTGCAACGAGCGCGTTTATTAATTCTGCAGGTGTCCGGTGTAAATTATGATAGGTATAATGATTCGATTACGCAATGCACAGGTTAAAAATAAATATTTACAATCTTGTGGGATGTACGAACGGTACCGAAATTTTGACGACGCACGACACAACACATATATAATTTCAGAGGAGGGTAAGACCGCTATTTCCACATTTGCGGGATATAAACGTCGAGTTAATGTTACTATGCTACAATAAACGAGTAAATACATCGCTCATGACAATTGAGTATTTAAAAAATTTTGTCATTACGTATTATTGAGTACCAGATATAATAGAGCTTAGGAGATTTATAATTTATAATAGTTATTATAATTGAATAATAAATTAATTTTTTTGTATTTATTTTTCTCGTTTTAAAATTAAAGTACAAAATAATTAAGTTATAAACAAATATTACTAAAATAAATATAACATTTAAAAATATAATATATTATGAAAAATATTTATATATATAGATAACGCTTTAAATAATCCTGTAATAAGACCTTATAGGTCAGTATATAATAATTGATTGACCTTAAAGTCTTTCTTTATATCAGCGATAGTTATAGAACAGGTCGGGGCTATGGAATAGCTTTTTCCCCTGCTATCTATTTTATAAAATAGTATTTTACCCAACTCTAGTTATATTGACTTACATTACACAACAGGTTACACAATTGTTTTAATCAGAAGATTTCTATCTTTTCATTCTGCTTTCTATGTGTCTTTTAAAAAAATCTTTCTAATATGCATGCGTCATCTATCATGGCGTATACATACGTTCATACACATAATACGTCTATACATTTTACGCTATTTGTCGATCGATCGATCAACGTCAACTTCCTTTCATTTCGCTTTGAATTTGACGTGACCGTACTCAAAAGATGTTTCGAAAATGAAATTCTGTCCCTTTTTTTCGTTATTTAAGTTTAATTGACATCAAGTAATCGGATACTTAAATTTTGTGGTGACATCTCTTAGTCCTCGCCAAACCTTGTTTCTTCATCTGAACATTTTGTTTCACAATTTTTTTACAATTCTTTTAGACATATAAGAATTTATCTTATCTTTATAGACTTTATAGATATTTTATTAGACAAACAATCTAGTTTCTCTTTTATATAGATATTTATGCAACGTTTCTTTCTGAACATTACATTCATTCGCTGAGATGCGCAAAGAATAAAATAGAACATGGCATGGAAATTGATAGTTTACTTGCTTGCATACTGTTCTGCACGTAAATAAGAATAACCGATTTTTCTTAATAATTTGTTGTTTATCTCTGATTAACATTCAAGTTCTCGTAAAAGAGTTGTCACTCTTAATCTCTATTTGATAAATAATGTAAATAATACAAAATTGAGACCAAAATGTCTGCTGTTATAATATTATAATATTGTATGTATTTTGCATTATCAACTTTTCAATCACATTTAGCTGAACATTTCGTAAACGATGTCATTTAAAACAAATTTCTCATTTATTATATCTTGTTATACTTGGCATATATATTCTAATATAAATGTATGTCCTCTCTGTTTGAATATTGTATATATTCTTGCACCACACATACCTTTATTACCGATTACGGCTTTGAAATTGGTAATTCACGCCTTATTGCACAATTGTTTAGTCACTCCACCAGCCCAGAGAGTGCAGTTTATCCTTGGCGAGGAAGTCGGTGATGATGCACACGAATCGCATCCGTTGTTCTCGGAAATGGAGGAGCTCGTCAAGGATGGCGATGAAATGGAATGGAAGGAAACAGCGAGGTAAAAGTCGAATTGCAATTCCACTTTGTCAATTTTAACCTTTTGAAATGCGAGAATATGTTTACGCATTGATATTACGCATTGAAACCATCCGTTCCACAATAGTATCCATAAAATAATATCTAATTTATTCGGTTCTGCGTATGCGGAACAGTCATAACAAAATACGTATAATTGTAATTCTTTGAGTACGTCAAAATAAATAATTAAAATATTAATAATACACAAGGATAAAAGTTTTTATGTATAAAATACTGTAATAATAATTTTTTGAAAGCACAGATCAAAAAGCGTTTTGAATTTATACATACTATATTTCAACTTTTAACTTTTAACTCAAAAAAAGACTAAAAGAACTGAGATTTTTATTTTTATCTTTAAAATAAAATACAAAATATTTTTATAAAGAAATATCGCAATTTATTATATTATACGTACATATACAAATATTGTATGTACAAATATAATATGGATCACATAGATGGATCAAGTTCGAGGAAGATGTTGAAGAAGGTGGCAATAGGTGGAGCAAACCTCATGTTGCCACTTTATCACTGCACTCACTCTTTGAGTTAAGGAGCCTGCTTTTAAACGGGACCGTCATGCTCGATATGGAAGCAGGCAGCTTAGAACAAATAGCTGATCTTGTTCTCGATAATATGATTAATAAAGAAGTACTGTTAGTCGAATTACGAGAGAAGGTAAGAATACAACAATGTATACGCGTGAGAAGAAAATTATTTAAATATCTGTCCTATTGAAGTGAAAAGTTTTACCACGATATCCTTAAATAGATCACAAATACATTTATAATCCTCACATTTCGCCATTGATATAACGCATATATATAAAATTCATTCATATCTCGTTAAGACAGGAACTAAATTGATTACACAAAGGTAATGTTACCGCTGATGGAAAATAATGTCACTCTTTATTGATTTAAGAGAACTGAAAGATTTATGATTTATCTATACTTATTCCTCATATTTTTGATCTGTAAATCAATACTTTGGCACGTTAGGCACACGTGTACCTCTAATAAAACGACCAGACAGAGTATAATATCATTTCAGGTGAGAGAAGCCCTTCTTGTCCGACATCGGCATCAACACGAAAGACGTAAAGACAATAACATGTCGAAGTTACCGATCATAAGATCGTTAGCTGAGATAGGACGCAATCATTCCTCCTCAAAGAGTAAGTTTCACGTTACTTTCTCTCACAGTATCGATAAATTACTTTTCGACAGGTTGCCGATGACTCTACACAAATAATGTACATAATATTTTTAATATCAGGCACATAGGCGCTCAGAAAAACACAGATTGTCTCAGCGTTTAGCACCAACCCGTTTACCTACCTAACGTGTCCTTTTTCACATGCGCTTTCCCTTTTTTATTTTATATTTATATTTAATTTGCCATTTCTTCTAAATTGTATTTTGTTTTTCATTTAATAATAAATAAATTTTGTTTAATAAATTTATTATATGATAAATGGTGTAATAAACACTACAATTATTATTAATTCTTAAACAAGATAATATATCCTATATCCCTTGTTATAATTTTTATTATTTAAATTAATATATTTAATTATTATTTTATAGGCTCATAATGGTCCGAAATAATGTTTAAATAAATATATAATAATAATAATAAATGATTTAATTTGAGGCTGAATATTAAAGTCAATTATTTTATTTCTTAATTTTTATTTTACAAATTAATTTTCTTTCAATAATCTTTGACATTTCGGGTCATTAAGAGCTTGATTTAATTTAATTTCTCTTAATTTCTAATCCAATTTTGTTTTTATTTTCACCTGCATTTTCGTTGAAGACCACCCTGATGACGGTGGCGAGACGAAAGAGTCGGGTCCAAGGGTCCTAGGGTGTGCTAACTTTGTTAAAACACGTACGACACAATCGACATTTTCAGATAGCGACTGTTCATGTGGTATGCATGCGTTGTTGACGTCAGATTTGCAGGAGCGTCGTGATCCGAAGGATACTTACGTACCGTCCGTGGCTCGCAGCAGCAGTTGTCCGAACTCGAACATGGCTCCGCTGTCGAAAGAGGCGAAAGACCTCAAAGGGCCGTACCTTCTGGTTCCAGGTACAACTTAGGCCAGTTCATCCGCTAAGCAGCCTTGGATTGCGGTGCTTTCGTCGCTTTTTTAACCACACCCCAATGGAACAACCCACTAACAATTACAACATGCGTGTATCGATTGCTTCGCAAATGCTAGGGTGTTTTTACTGCTGGTGAAATTAAAAGCATTGGCAAGTCTAATTCTGCAACTTCGATCCTGAGAGATTAGTGATTTGATAAACTGAATAGGCTTACATCCTGATATGCCAATAAGGATATAGAACATTATAATTCTTGAAAAGTTTATTTTAATTAAATACGCTAAGGATAAAATTTTAAAATTTTAGAATGATAATCTATGATTATATGAATTTGGGAGGCAAGCGATACTTTTAGCTATAACTTGGTATCATTGGATTGTGTGTCTTAGTGCGTGCCGATCAAGCGAGGATCAAGGCAATCTCGATTGTCGCTGGATCCGTCCGCGATCCATTGGATTTACAAGCCATCATGGTCATTCCCCAACTGCCTGATGTTTCTTGGTGATTGTCTTGCTAATTGATTGTCAATGTGAAATACTTGGCGTCATCAAGACTGCTCATCGCCTTCATCGAGTCACCCTCTTCGTGCTCCGGAGCTCAAGCCGGTCGAAAATTTGTAACTTACCATCGTTTCTTTTCTTTTGTCAGACGAATTTGGCATACCCCACGTGGTGGGATTCACGACGTGGTTCGCGATGTGTCCGCTAAAAGGTTAGCTTGCCAGATAGTTTACTCTCGATTCTACGAATCTGCACAAAATTTTACTTCTCACTTATCTTCCGTTTATGCTAAAGTCTCTTCTCTTTTCATCTTTCGTGTCTTATCACGTGTCTTATTATATAGGCTCGTGATCGACGCGCGACGAAACTCATTTCGGTTTCTTGTCAATCCTGTCTCCTATTATTTCAACTATGTCGATGGAACTGTAATTATTTTTTTATTATAATGCACAAGAGTTTCAACTGTAAGGACACAGCAGCCTCTTGCGCGAAACGAGAATTCCGGGTAATCTGGCAAAATAGATGTCGCACAGATTCAAAATTTCGTAACGGTTTGATAGTTTTTTTTTACATATCATTGATTCGAACAGTCAGATATTAATCCAGAAATAACTACTTCTACAAATTATACGTGTCCTTATCGACAAGAGTGTAAATGTCAACTACACTGTAGATACGCGTCTGACCTATTCTAGCCACAACTACTATGCTCAATTCTATCTCTCGAATATTAGACACATCTTGATCATTCGCAATACACATTGAAATTGATTATGCGGTTGCTAATGTGGTTACAGCAATATGAGAAGTGGATTGTGGTTACCCATAATCTGTATTCTCACTGGCATTAAATATGGCTGCCTAATTACCATTTTGTATTGATATTGACTATCACCCTTCAGTTTAAGCAAATAAGACCAGATAGTGATATTAAATGTATGATGCGAATATAGAGAATTGTAATATATTTGCGAATGACGGGTTTACTTCCTATCATACGTGACGTTACTACAATTTATCGTTCGCGGTCTCATTATCCATTAATCAACATGCACGTTCCTTCGTTGATAATGTAGGCCAACATTTATAATTCCAATCATGAGGCATGGATCTTTCTATGTGATCTTACTAAGTGCACGTAACTCGATGTAAACCCTGTCTACTATACATTCATTATTGTGCATTTATAGTTCTCAGTGTTATAATCGACTAATCTCTTTTCAGTATCCTAACATTAATCCATTCTCCTTATAACCTGCAAAAAAGCAAAAATACGATTTTTTTAATGTTATATTTTAAGACGCATATGTTTTATAGAAAGAAAATAAATATTGAAAATTAGAGCAAAAAGTAAATTATTGTGAATTATTGCAAAAATATAACAATTTTTTGGTTTGTTATACATTTTAAGTTATATATACTTTAAGACTTCAAGGTTAAAAAGCGATTTACGATAAGTGCAATATATAGCGTTGAATGCATTCAATGGACCGTGTGATTCAATGAAATATTACGTTATTGTGTTCTTTATTAATTAATGAAGCGTTTTATTGTTTATGTATACCTTCTAAATGTCGAGGGTTCGTGAGCCATTTTGTGCTTTGCGACTGCCGCGAAACTTACTGACGAATATATGCAAATGAAGCGAAGTTAAAGCATCAACAATGCGATGAAACGCACGTGCGGTAAAATCGCACAAAGAGATTTTGTAACATATTTACCACCGCCACGCCCCTGATATTTTGCGTGTATTTTCTATATAAAAATAAAAATAATTGCATGTATAATTTTCTCCCCACGGTAATATTGCAATCGGCACGTGTACTCATGTACATGGAATATTCCGGAATCAGGCTGTTTGTTTGCACGCGACAATCTTTTCTCAGATTAAATTTTCAGATTGAGTTTAAATCTCTGGTGTATACTAACGAAACTATTTTTAATTTCGACTAACGATTTATCCTGTATCCTGAAGGGTTATTTTCGCGATGAAAAATGGACGATATATGTATATGCAAATCGTTTTTATTATACATTTTAAGCGATTTCGAGTTGAAAGTGATCGCGAGTTATTATGGTGGCGAATCCTTTGTTCCTTCTCGCACCTTCCTTTGTAAATAAAAGACGATCCTGGTGTTGTGTTTCATGCTCATTTTTAGTGGAGGAATCGAATTCCGCTCCGGCGATCGCCGGCGCAACAAGTCAGGGCAGTGGAGCAGCGCTGAATGCTGGTAGCCGCTTCCTTGCGATACCCGGCAATCCCGGTAAACCGCTTTTCTGTGCTTGCTTTCTACTCATACACACCTTTATACTCGCGAGCTGCATTAATCCGTAGTGAAGTTCCATACGTATAAGTAGATTAATCTGCAGTAGCAATTATCCATGTCGTGCTCGACAAACGAGAAACCATTGTGAGATCGAAATGGATTGTTATTGGAACTCCGGAAGACTTAACAAACTTTGTCGTTTGCTATAAATTATCTTTACCATATTTCGGATAATGGTGGCCGATTTACAAATTGCGCCAGATCATTATGCCTCTTGCCAATTCTTAAAATTACTCGTAGAAAGAAGATTCGACTAAGAAATTAATGATAGAAATATTAATTATTATCAAAAATAATCTAAGGATTTTTTAAATTTAAATAACTGCCGAAGAATATAACAGATTAATTAAATGTCACAAATCGAGAAATGTTTGAACAGATATTGTATTTCCAAGCGGTCTTCTGTTCAATTGAAAAATCAAAAAATCTAAAATATCTAAAAAATTACAGAGGAATATCAAATTACAAAGTGGAGTTTGTATTATTTCAATATGATAAAGTTTCAGAAAAATTTATAATAAGGTTATCCTTACAAAGAATCACTAGTGATCGTCACTAACATTTGATGCAAAGGTCAAGTGCTACTTTAAGTATAGTAGGTTTCGATCAAACGTTCATTTGATTTACACAATCGAATAAATCGAGCGACATTGATTGGGTATGCTAATATTAAAAAAACGATTTAGAATTATAAATAAATTAATGTGATTTTTTATTATCGCGCAATCAATATTGGTTTAATAATCTTAAAATCCATCTCTATTTCATAACTGATAATATGTATCTCTTTTGGATGACGCTTGAATTCTATTAAATAATTAAACGGATATTTATATGTAAAAGGTTTAACTCTCTTTTTGATGAGAATTTGAGAATGATAATTTGTTTCGCAAAATAGCATGTTTAATTGATAAAACTCAAAGATAATATAAAATTGCAACATAATGCTACTAAGACAAAACCGTGAATATTGAATTATTACTTGTGATTATAAATATACAGAAATCAATATCATTTTATCGGTTAAAAATCATTAATATCTATGAATTATTGATGAAAAACTATATCTTCAATAAACATTTTTACATTTATTTACATAAAATGCTGCTTTTGTGATTTTTTTTAAAGGATAAATCTTGAACAGTTTTGTTCAAACAAAACGCGGATTGATATGTGTTTAATAAATGTTATAAATTGTACATTTAATATTACAATATTATTATTACCGCATTTTAATTTAATAAAGTTTTGATATATTCTAAGCTCACATTAATTCTACCAAAGTAAAAAGTTTTGATTTGAATTTATAAGCAAATTTCACGTGTATAAAAGGAACAATTTAAAAAAGATTTTTTTCTAAAAATTCGGCTCTAAGCCGACTTCCTGTTATTTTGAAAATATACAGCTTGAATTAATCAAGAAAAGTCATAAGTTTTCGCGGAGATTTGATGAATGATTTTGTTGTTAACGTGTTTGCTCTTTTCTATCCTGTGACAAATTGTCTTAAAGCGGAACGCGTATTGTTCTATCGCAGAGGTGAATTCGTGCAAATGACGTGGCGCGTGAAATTCGAGCTGTACAAATTGCAATCTGTCTCGCGTGCGCATTTTGGAGGATTAATGACCCATAGGCGGATGAAAGCCATCATTTTCCTCATTGCATGCTATTGACAGGGATTATTACTCAAACTGTGTGTAAAAATGATAGTGAGCTAGATCTCTTTCAGGCCAAGAACCAGGCAGCAACGGCATGGATCGGAGTCCCAGCAGCGTGTCTATCAGCAGAAATCACAGCTCCTCCGCTTTAGAAAACGGAGACGTTAATCACAAGGTTCGTAAATATATTATTCACATAATCAAATTCTTGAGGAATTAGATCTTTCCAATTTAGCGTAATCTCAGCATGATAGTTATGTAATATGATGAGAATTTTATAATTATAATATTTATATTATTATATTAATAATCTTTAAATTATTGTAAAATATTGAATTAAATATTGTATAATTAAAAGTTGTAAATCTGTACGATATTCGTACACGTAATGTATTTAGCCTCATGCACGTAAAGGCTTAATACAATTATCATAGGCGTTCGGTTTTAACGCTCACGCTATATAATCGCTTTATTTTATCTTTTTGCCGCATGTAATTAGTGATAAAGATAGAATACAGCTCACAGTTTATGACTGCTCAAACTGAACGTAGCCATAATAATTAGCTAATTACTTTCCATTATTTTTAATATCCGACAAAACACTTAATCAAAGAATCGCTTAATTTTTTTAGCAGTGCTTTAGTAAAGAGGCTTTATTCTAATTTTTTCCTTTTAATGTCAAGATTGATTTTTTGTATTGCGAGCAGTTTAATCCAAGAAACTTCACTTTTTCATTAGGGTAATACGCACTTTATGAGAAAAATACCAGCTGGCGCTGAGGCAAGCAACATACTCGTAGGTGAAGTCGATTTTCTCGACAAGACTTTGTCCGCATTCATCCGGTTAAGCCAAGCTGGAATAATGGGGGATCTGACAGAAGTTCCTGTTCCGACAAGATTCATTTTTGTCCTCTTGGGACCCATGGTAAGAACGCTGCTATCGCGACTTATACGTAGAGATGGGATTAAATGTAAAAATGAAAAGAGAGTTATAATCTCGACCTACTTGAAGCATCATTTCTTTGAGGTTTGCGCATCAGCTAGATTTATAATTGCTGTGATGAAAAGTGATTTTACTATATGTATGATATATTTTATTTTAACATCTCATATAAAATAGACTAAATAAATAAACTAAAAATCACATTTTTTAATTTCAATAAAATCTGCAAACCTTTTAATAAATAAACAAATACTAATATATATGTAACATAAGATAAATATTGACATTTTTAGTCAATTACGCCTATTAATAAATTTTGTGAATTTTGTGTATTGCATGTTTATATATACTTCGTGTTCTCACTTTTAAAGCACATGTTGATTATTATTTTATCTTAAAACACAGTTTTATCAAAATCTGAAAATGTAGAATCACGTTATCAAATTAATAATCAAAATAATATTATTGATGTTAATACTTATCTCATCTATAAGGAATTTATTCGAGAAATATTTAATAATAGATCTAAGTTCGAACTTTGGCTTGGATAATATTAAATATAAAATTTTGTTCAAACCCCGACCAAAAATTAATATTTATTTATCTTATATACAAACCTCTTCTTCTTGATTTTTTCACTAAAATATTTTTATTATAGATATAATTATGATATAATCATTATATTGTGAATATAATCAATATATTATGAATATAACCTGTTTTCTTTCTTTTTATTTAAACGACGGTAAAACAATTTTTTCATAGACCTATCGATATTCAAAATAATATTGAAACGCGTCGTTAAACTAAATAGCAATTGAAGTTCTTAAGAGAAATAGCTTTCTACAACAAAGAAAATAAAATTATTACTATTTTTAAAACTCTAACTTGTTTACTTCGCTATATACATTTGAAAGTATATATCAGGTGATCTCCTTGGAGACTACTATGTTCAAAAAAGTTCGGAAGAAGTATAGTACACGCGAGTCCGAAATTTTATGTTTGAAATATTAAAATATCAACGTAATGTATAAATAAATTACGTAATGTAAATATAATTCCCAGCTATAGGGCTATCAAATAAAATTGCTGTATATTCAAATTCGTTAGCAATCATTAACGAATTCTCCGACTTTGTCTTAAATCGTCGATTGTCTGCACGAATCAATATCTTTACTCGACTATTATAGTTATATCAATGGCTTATCACAGACAATCATCTTCCACCACACTCAAGCTCGAATAACATAAGTGAGACCTAAAAACGGAATAAACTAGTCCAAACTGCGCAAGGTTTTCACTTTATGTGAATACTATGTATGCATACCTAAATGCCAATTTGAGACACGAGAAGGTCATCTTTTCCATAGCGGAGTAATTAAATCTTTAATAAGTAGTACTTGCACTGTTTATTTTTCCCTAACAATAGCATGCAAATACGCAATAGCGTATATTTAAATCGCATTTACGTGAAAAATAACTTACTTTATACATAGTAAATATTCACAAACTAGATCCCTCGAGATAATCGACGGACGTATGCGTCCGCTGATGATTATCTGGAGAGATCTATATGTAAAGTAATTTATTTTTCACGTAAATGCGATTTTACATTATTGTGATCTTAACATGTTTTATAAATATAATATTTTTACATGTAACAATATTATTTTCTGAAAACAGTTTTTTCCATTAATCATGGTTTAAATTTAAATATTTTTTAAATAATGAATATAAGAAATGTTAATTTATATATATATATATATATCACTTTATTAATAAATTTTCAAAAATTTATAATAAAAAAAGATGGTAAAATTCTCAAGTAAAATATTAATTAATATTACCAAAAATTTTAATGATATTAAATAACGTTAAATAACATTAAATAAAAATAATAAAAAGTGTCTATTATGAAAAAAATATTAGAAATTTGAAATATTTATTTTTCGTATTAAAAAATGAACTTTTTGAAACCCTTGCATTTTTGTTGTATGTAAGGATGGGATATATGGTTACTCACACGGAGAGGGGAGGGGGATATGTACGGCTCATGAAAAATTTACAAATAATGTATAAAAATGAGACGTAAAATGACACTAACTTATAAAATGCGTTTAAAGTTTTATTAAGGAATAAGAATGAGAAAATATGTATATGAAATAATAAATAATAATTAAAATCTTCCTATATATATTACAAATGTTATGATATGAGATACATATTTCATGTACCGCGTTTATTGCATTCAGTGCACTGAATTCATGCTTCGTATGCTTTGGGCATAAATCCCACCCGCTAAAAATGTTGTATATCCTAAACAGATGAGATATAAAAGACAAACTAAACAAAGAATACGAAAGCAAAGCACTTGTATTTTGCTTTACTTGTTTCTCTACACGTATGCATAAAATAACCACTTAAGTCTTTTATACACCCTATAGTAATCATTTATTTATGTAGATTATAATTTATGATAGCGCTACTTATGACAAATCGATTCAAACTCATAATAATTTCATTAATATTAACAGTAAGAAGCTGAAATCATAACTCAATACTAATATTATATATAATGTAAAGGCAAACAGAATAACAGAGTAGTTGCGGGAAAATTATCCCCACTCCTTCTATTTTTTCTGACTTCTGCGACGTAAATCCCAGTGCGGCGTATTTGCCAGAGTTACTCTATGAATTATTGATATCATTTTTGCACACGTAGATATGAGAGGCTATTCTATGTTTTAATGATAAACCTGAAAGCATCAAATCGAATTTTGATGACGTCTTTCTTTTTTGAGTAAAAATAAATTTACGTCATATCAGTTCTTAGATTGTATAGGTATACTATCTTTGTGATAAAAATTATTTATCGATGAACAGGGATACTGGTTATTCTCGCGCGTTACACGCGAGTGATAATCTTCACAGGTTCTTATAAACCCCTAACGTTTCACCTCACCTCATCTTATTTTGTATTAAGTAATTGTTCACGATAAGTTATGCAATAATTATTAATCTTGTTAATACGCTGTTTTTTATGATAATATTTTATAATAAATCATTAAAGTATAATAAAAAAAAAGAGTAGATGGAGAAAATATATATAACAATATTAAAATTACATTAAACAATACACGAAATATATATATCTATAAGAATTTATAAAATTAGTTAGTTTCTAAATAAAGGTGGGTCACTTTTAGGGTGGGATTTCCGGTTTCCATGAGATTGGTCGAGCTATGGCGACCTTGATGTCCGACGAAGTCTTCCATGACGTAGCTTACAAGGCAAAAAATAGAAATCATCTCTTAGCTGGTATTGATGAGTTCCTAGATGCCGTGACGGTATTACCACCCGGTGAATGGGATCCAGCAATCAGAATAGAACCGCCAGCCGCTATACCATCGCAGGTGAGAATAGTCTTGTCAGGGAAGAAGTGATATAATCTTTATGAGTTCAGATCTCGATATTACATAATTAAACGCATAAAAATAATCTCTATCTTTATCGGCGATAGAATGTGACAAGAAAAATTCTTTCTTGCGTGTGTCCATAATACTGAAATTGAAACAATCAAAATTATAATCAATTTTGATGTTTTTTTAAAAATATAAGTCTATGGAAAGTATTCATCACTTTAATCGCAGCTTGATTTTATGTTTTCAGGAAGTCAGAAAGAGACCCAAAGAGGAAAAGCCTAAGGAAGAGTTCGACGAAGAAGCTGATGAACAAAAGCTAAGGGAGGAATCCGGCCTTTCGAGAACCGGTAGACTGTTCGGCGGTCTGATTAATGATGTTAAAAGAAAAGGTCCATTTTACTTTTCCGATTTCAAGGATGCCTTTGCACTTCAATGCGTCGCGTCTTTTATTTTCTTGTATTTCGCCTGCTTGTCACCCATCATTACTTTTGGTGGCCTCCTCAGCGAGGCTACCGGAAAAAACATGGCTGCTATGGAATCGCTAGTTTCCGGTTTCGTCTGCGGCATTGGATATGGCTTCTTCTCTGGTCAGCCATTGACTATACTTGGTTCCACCGGCCCGGTTCTAGTTTTCGAGACGATTGTCTACGAATTCTGCAAGTGAGTCTTGATAGATAATCTATCTACATTTCAACTAACTCCTACAAAATTTTTACTACTTTGTATAACTAATTAGCATTTGATTATATTGTAACTTTAAAAAATACAGTCACTGAACGCGTAAAATAGAATCTTATTTATTAACACTTTCTTTCTCCAAAATAATCTGATCAGATCATTATTTTTGCAGAAAAGTCGACTGGAGTTACATGTCTTTCCGTTTTTGGATCGGTACATGGATGTCCATGATTTTGATGATTCTCGTGGCTCTTGACGCAAGTGCTTGCGTTTGTTATATTACTCGATTTACGGAGGAAAATTTTGCCACCCTCATCGCCTTCATTTTTATCTATAAGGTAAAAATAATCGTATTGCTGTATCCAGTGTAAACTAGATACAACATTAATTTATTAAGTTTTTTATCAATTCTTTTTATATTTTTCGATATTGAAAGCGTTTTAAAAAACATATTATTTAATCATAAAAAAATTAATGCTATGCATTTGATTATTTAAGCGAAAGTTGCGTTTATATTTTTTATATAATTATCTGTTTAATATATCTTATATGTATTAAGTGTATCAGTACATTCTAGGCAATCGAAAACGTGCTTTCAATCGGCAAGAAATATCCCTTAAACACCTATTCCAGCGAAACAATGGACTATGATTGCTGGTGCAAACCACCGAATACCAGTCTGCCATCCAGTTATAATAGTATGAATTGGACGATGTTAGACAAAACAGCTTGCGAGGTAATGTGATTTTCAAAATAATATAAAAGTCAGTATGAGAAGTAAACAAATGGAGGGATCTTGCTCAGGGACGGGAACAGTAGCGGGATTTGGTATTTGCGGCAATGAGCTTTCGAGTTCCTAACGCCTAATAATAATAATAATAATAATAATGAGAAGTAAACATGCAATAATTCACTCATTGTTAAGAACACTTCTCCATATACATCTTGAAATCTGAATTTCATTAAAGTGCATCAATATGTCTATATCGGAGCATTCCGTATACTACATTACTATACTCATTCACAGCGACTAATATTTGAAATTTTTCTATTAAATTAAAAGAAAATTGTATATTAAGTTAGCCAATTAGCAACGCAGACAATCGGGTCTCACTCCCGTTATGTTAAAATTATCAAAACAATTTTTATCTTGATTATTTATGTAACATCATGTTATAATAAAAATTGCAAATTTTATTTAAATATCAGCTCACTTGATGACTTTACTTGATATCTCGCTTGATTGATAAAAAAAAACATTCAGCACACAAACGTCTCGTTATGCTCAATCGCAACAGTCAAACGCGTATGCTTCTTCTTATATTTTCTTGAGAAATTACAAGTTCCTACGTACAAAGTAGATTACTAGGTATTTTTGAATTTACGAGAAAATACGATCTTTCAAGCAATCTAATTCGCTCCTGCTTTGACGTCGTCTTCGTTATTGCTTCTTTCAGAATTACAATGGCACTATGATGGGCGATGGCTGTAACATACCACATTATGTACCCGACGTGTTCCTTATGTCAATTATTCTATTCATGGGCACGTTCTTACTATCAATAGAACTCAAGGATTTTAAGAATGCTTTATTTTTTCCCTCAAAGGTAAGAACATATGCTTTAATTGAAAAAGAAGGTATAAAAGATTAGCTTTATCTTTTCTAAAAATAAATATTAAAAAAGAGTTATAAGACTAGAATTCTAAAATTATTACTTATCTTATAAAAATATATTATAAGCATATCTTTATTTTTATTAGAAACTCAATAATTTATCTTATTTTCGTCACATTTACCATGCTTTCTTTTTTGGCATTTCTATGTTACGTTAGGTGAGGCAAGTAGTAAGCGATTTTGCAGTAATAATAGCGATATTCTCTATGAGCACATTGGATCATTTCGTGGGCATTCCAACACCGAAATTGGAAGTGCCGGCGGAATTCAAACCAACATTGGAAGGACGAGGATGGATAATCTGGCCTTTTGAAGGGAATCCGTGGTGGAGTGCTATTGGGGCATTCCTTCCTGCTTTGTTGGGTACTATATTGATCTTCATGGATCAGCAAATCACGGCCGTTATTGTTAATAGAAAAGAGAACAAATTAAAGGTACGCAGTTATGTCTCTAACTATTCTCGTCAATAGATGTCATTTGAAAAGACTGCAAAAAAAGAGTTAATTATTCAATACATTGAATAATTAACAATAGTTTGCAATAATACAGCAATAATAAACTCTATCAAAGATCTGATTAATGCTTTTTCAGAAAGGATGCGGGTATCATCTGGATCTTTTTGTCCTGTCGATTTTGATCGAGATATGCTCGGTAATGGGACTTCCATGGTTTGTCGCAGCGACAGTCCTCTCTATAAATCATGTAAATTCATTGAAATTAGAATCCGAGTGCGCCGCGCCGGGCGAGAAGCCACAGTTTTTAGGTGTCCGTGAACAAAGAGTTACTCACATACTGATATTCCTGATGATCGGGTGCTCAGTGCTCCTAACACCGATGCTAAGAAACATACCGATGCCAGTGCTGTTCGGTGTCTTCCTGTACATGGGTGTCGCGTCGCTAAAAGGTCTTCAATTCTTCGATAGAATTCTGATAATGCTGATGCCTGTTAAGTATCAGCCAGACTACATGTTCCTTCGCCAGGTAAGTGAATAGTTTCGACTAATTTGGATATTTTTAAAGTAGCTTGAAACGCATTTATTATAAATTTGTTTCTTTTAGGATATTTTCTCTTTAATAAAATATTAACTTTAATAAAATATTTCAAAACTCTTAATATTTTTTATAATTCCTATTGATCTGATTAATGCATTATCCAACACTATTTTTCAACAAGATAGTGAATAGTTATTTCTTATATATAATATTTGTATCTATTGAACACTAATCCGTGATAGTCAAAATTGGCTATCACATTACAATTTTGAGAAAAATGCCGTCAAAGAGACAAAAAATAACAATTTTAAAAACATTTTTATAACATTGTAGCTTTGTCAAAATATTGTTTTCGATATATAATGTAAAATATGATTATATCATGTAAAAGTATCAATTTTTAGCTTTAAAAATGCATTTTGTTTTGTTTCAGTATAATTTTCTGTTTTCAAGATAATGCAATTTGAAAATAGTTCCTTTTTCATATAATATAAAAAAAAAAAACACGAAAAAAGTATTTTATTCCATTTTAATTAATGCATTATGTGAAAAATAAATATTTTTGTACTAATATAATATAATCGAATCATACTAAATCAAAAAGTATTATAATATAAAATTAACAAAATACAATATAAATATATTAGGCAGGAAGATTATTAACTTCCATGATTTAAAATTACAATCTTCCTGTCATATTATATTTTGTCAATTTTGATCAATATTGCTTTTTTATTTAACACAATCCAATATATATTATCCGTTACATTTATTATTATATAAATACAAAAGTACTTAATTTTCACATAATGCAGTATTAAGATGAAATAAAATGCCTTTTCAAGGTATTACCTAGAAAAGAGCTATTTTCAAATTGCTATATCCTGAAAATAAAAATAATATTGACACAAAATAAAATTTATTTTAAAACTAAAAACTAATATTTTCGCGTGGTATTAATGAAATTTAGAAAAAAAATTGACTATAAAATTGTTTTTGGCCTGTTTCCATTTTGCTTAAAATTAATAGCCAATGGATTCGTGTTAAGGATCCAAAAATATATGATAAATAATTATTTATATTTGTATTGCAAAGAAAAATCAAATTTTATCAGATAGATTTTATCTAAAGTTACAGTATTTCCAACATTTGAATTCCAAATATATATTTTTAGGTTCCGTTGAAACGCGTACACATGTTCACTGCGATTCAACTTGCTTGCCTTGCCTGTCTGTGGCTCATAAAATCCTTCAGTCATACTTCTATTCTGTTTCCTTTAATGGTAAGTGATTAATCCAAGGATTAATAAATCATTCGTAATTTAATAATATTTGTAACTTTTTTACGAATTATTAATCCAGATTTAATAAACAGAAAAAATTAAATAAAAATATACCTGTTATTCTTTTTATTTACAAATATTACAAAAAATCAATTAACAATCTTATTTATTAAAAAATTATTTTACAAAGTAAATTAAATTGTTGGTCTTTGAAGATTATCATTTTATTAAGAAAGTCAGGTATATATACATATATCTCGATAAAATTATCTTGTAACATCTAATATTAGACATATGTCCACATCTAATATTAGACTCTTATTGTAGCGACCATAAAGCTAAAAATTTTAATCTCAGAATTGACATATTTTGTGCAAGCATACAAGTGACACATTTTCAAGGACATAATTCTTAATATAAATGTTTATAGCTTTGTAATCTATAATGTAAATATTTACAGCTCGTGGTAATGATTGGCATACGCAAATCCCTGGATTTGATGTTTACGCAACGCGAGCTGAAAATCCTCGACGACATAATGCCAGAAACAACCAAGAAACACGCTGACGATCTTCGTAAGCTGGAGAACGGCGAGGTTAGCACCGCGACACGAATATTAAACGCCATCACCTGTTGCAAATAGCATACAGAAGGTGATCGCGTGGCGAACGCTCGCCCCGTGGTCACCATAACTCTCTCCGACTTTGGAGAATCCGCCCTTTGTAAAAGAAACGATGTATATTATGATGAATGATCGGACGAATGTCAACTAAAACGAATTAGTTTTTCGTCGTTGCGCGAAACAGATTCGAGTAAAGATTTAGGATCTCCGAATATGAGGCTAGAATATAATTTAATTTAAAGCGCATAATTATATATACGCCAGATAATTTAAGAGTGCCAAACTTGGCCTTTGATAATTTAAAAGAAAAGTACGGACGGACCAATAATTTATACGCAAAACGCACACTTTTTACTATTTCGTCGAAACAACACTTTGCTCCTTTTTGCGGTCAAGAATTTTTTTATTTTCGCAAATGACATTTTTCACCGCCTGAAATAGGATGACGAGAATGGTATCATAAAAAAAAAAACGTTCCGAAAATGCGCACATGGACTGTTTTCAGTCTATAGAAATTTTTTGAAACACGACTTAAAATTTACCCATGTTATGAAAATAATATATTGTTGCTTCGAGCATTTATGCGGCAAATTTTTATATTTTTTTAACGAGCCAAATCTTGGCCTTAAAAGCCATCCTCTCGTCTTCCACTCGGAACACGTGCCAAATCTTCAAATCCTCAAATCCAGATGGTGTACTGACCGACCAGTATTAAAGTAAATGTTATGATATATAATCGTTGTTGAATTTTTGAATGCGGTAGACCTTTGGATACCGCAATCTTAAACGTTTTTATCGATAGCATCGTTGTTAGCGAAATTAGAGTAATGTGTTGAGTGTTGATCGTTTTTGCGAGCGCTTCGAACAAGTCGGCGACTATCCGAAATTTTATTTTTTGTGCAATAATTCGCTCCAAGTTTTCCAGATTATTCTTCAATGGTGAACCGCGCGCGATGAATTTTTATCGATGTCTTCATTGATGTATGATGTCTTTGATGGAATTATACATAATTATCTTTGTTTATATATACATACACATATTAGTTATATAATCTTAGGCAAATTTAAGATAGAGATAAGCAAATGCAATTTTCGTTATTACGTAATATAATTGAATAATAATTGAATAATAATACTCTTACGAGTACAATAGCATAGTCGCGCGTATCGAGCACGACATTGCAAACTATTAACGGTAGTTAAGGAAAATTATTGTTGCAAGGTAAGCAATACTGTATCGTTTTTGTTCATACATTCGAATAAATTAATGTAGCACTTCTTCTATAATTTATACATTCCAACATTACAGCAAACAAAGAGCTGTTTGAAATAAAATCATGATCAGTTCACCATGGGAGAGTACATGTTCGCAACATTGCGAATTTTTTAATATACTCTTAGTTAATTGATTAAACAGAAAGCGGGTCCTATCATCGAAATGATATCAACGAAGATATTTATGAGTAGCGATCGACACATCGCAATTGATATTCGCGACTTAGCGAAATAAAGTGTTGTTGCATTTAATATATCATCGTGTCGCTAATATCCTTTTCTGTGAACCATTCGAGACTCTTGTATCGATTTAATGCGCCGTCGTTCACGCAGTACACGTATCTTATCATGTAAAAATACATTATTGTTTCGAAACACACGAAACCTCTTTATAATTCCAGTATCTCCTAACACAATTAATGACTCATGTATAATAATTTACACGTTCGTCTGCTTGAGAGCTCCTACTTATCTCTCGCAATAGTCAAATATCAAAATTTTTTATTGCCCTAAAGAATGCCCTAAAGAAATATTATGTTAATATAAAATAATAAAATAAGCTTATAAGTTTCGTGATAATTAACACTCAATTTACTTGTTATAAAATTGATCTCATTTTTAATGTATTGTTCTGCTTTTTAAATTGCACATTTCATTTTATTTTTAATTTAAATATACAAACTAAATTTATATATGTAAGAATTGCAATCTTAAAAGATTGCAATTCTTACATATATAAATCTAAACTGCAAAAGTACTGTTACATATTTATTATACAAAACTTTAATATTAAAGAAGATTTCCGTTTAACTGTTATTTTAATACTTAATTTCTTTTTTATTTTGGTTTAAAAATTAACAACAAAAGAACAATTTTTTTTTTTTCGTAATCTTATAAAGAAAAAGGCTAAAATTTGATATGCCTAAAACAGTATAATCATTATTATGTGTAATTTTTTTGTATGATACGGTACGGTAATAATATCAGTAAAAGGAAAACAATATTTTTAAAATTATCTTAACGCGAGCGAGTGATTAAGTGAAGCGTTGCACCGTGTAACAGCCAATTGCGTGCGTTCGTTGTTAACAATACAATTAAAGACAGAATAACTGAACGGAAGCACACCATGACTCACGGAGGAAAGTGACGATTCAGCGAGAGAAAATGAGAGAGCGACTGAAAGAAATCACACAAGCCGGACAAACACGGAGATATCAATACGGAAATCGCAAACGAAAAAAAACGCCAGTCGAATCCTCCGCCTGTCATCGGTACGTCACCATAAGTGCACGTCCGTAGTTTCGTCGCATATAGTCGACATGTTCTTTTCGCAAATAAACTATTCAGCGAACATCCTACGTCCGTTTGTAATTGAAGAGATTTTTCAGTAAATAAACGCAACGATGCATATTGCGATATATGCGTTTCAATAGTAATCATGCGCCACTAAATTGAATACAATAACAGCATGTTATAAATTTTCTGCAAATTACGTGGCAAGGATATATTGCAGCTTATACTTACAATTAAAACAATATCATAGTATAATTGCACGATGTTCAATCATCAAACTATGAAAAAAGTATTGACAAATGTCAAAATGTGCCTTTGCATATTTATATTATATGTTTCTAATTTGATATTGTAAATATCGGTATTGTAGTTCCTCACAAAATATAAATATCAATGTCGATTATTATTAATTGATACCGTTATGCACGGATAAAATAATACAAAATATTAATACAAATTATGATCGTAACTCTCAAGGTGAACGGAATCGTTATTTATTAAAATTATTTCCTCTCCTCGAAAAAGAAAAAGAAACAATTAATATAATTATATCATCACAAATTCGTCGCACTGATTTTTCTATTGTGCATTCTTCTCTTTGTTAGACTTATCTACACGCCAAGTCACTCCCTTGTAAATTTATTCATAGTGTTACGTGACGCCCCTGACTGATCGTTATTACTTCCTCGTATAATTATCGTATAATTGATTGACTGAAAAATATGCTGGCAAGCAACGTATTTCATCTGCTTCCCAGCAGTTCGAAGGCAACGCAAAGTTCGCTTGAATTTATGCATGGCCTGATAGAAATTCGTCGCACATATCAAGATTGAGATTCAAACTATTGTTTCATTCGTACTGCAGGATCACAATGAAACGACGGGATATGGACCTCCTGCAGGGAACATTCAGATCTCTTTAGCTAATGGGAACATCATGAAGATTCCTCTGGCGAGTATCAATATCAGCGAGGAAGTGAATAAAACTGGTATCTGGCAACAAGTCAATGAAGGCAACGAAAAAACAAAACAGTCAAAATCACTAATCAAGTAGGTATTGAATTTCGAATGATTTTATGCATTTTTTGGAGAGATTATATAAAAATATAAGACATGGAATGAAATAACTAAAATTGTCGATTATATAAAACTTTCAAGCAATTTTTGATTTACGAAATTAATCTAATCATTTTTTATCATTTAATCTAATCATTTTTTAATTAATAATTTTTTAAATTATTTATTTCATGTTCATTTAAATATTATTATGTTTTCTGTCATACTATTCATTTTATATTCATTTTATATTATTTATAATAATGATACTTTAATATGATTTATATTTTATTGACATATTATTTTCAAATTTTATTAAATAATTGTATATCTTATTTTTCTAAAATGTAACAATTTTTTACGAGAAAGCTTTTTTAAATTTAACGATTCATCATCTTGCTTATATATTTATAGAATAAAACGAAGAATATAAATAAATAGCGCTCGAAGTTTGCACAGTAGAACAATTCAATTGCAAACAATAAATTAATAATTAACATGGAATTTTTTTCGATTTGAAACATTTGTCAAGCAAAATAGATAAGTTCATTTAATTATAATATATTGAAGAAGAAAAAATCTGTAAAAATCGGAACGTCTATTCTTATAATCTTATTATTGATATGTTAAGTTAATATTAAATATTTTTAATAAAACATCTTATATTTGCTCGTTTATTTGGTCGTTTGTAGTTGAATATTTATAGAAGCTCATCATAAATTCTATTCAAGTAAGATATTGTAATGATTGTATAAAATCAAAACGTTAAGACAACTAAAAACAAATAGACAATCGTTAAACTGTAATCAAATCGTTTCTCAGTTAATTTAGTTGAAGAACTTTGAACATATAATTTAAAATTGACATAATTATTTTCAATAAAAGCATGATCACACATTTATAGAATTTGACTTTTTACACATAGATTTTAATATTACCTTTAATAATAAATTAATATTTCTTATAAAAAATATAAAAGCAATAAAA